TACCCTCAACCCTAAGCCCAAAAATCTGAACCTAAACCCGATAAACCTTAAACCCTAAACCTCAAAATCTCAACCTAAACCTATAGACCTTGAACCATAAATCCCCAAATCTAAACCTAAACCATACATGCCTTCAAAACTAAACTCCAAAATCAAAGTCCAACCCTACAAACCTTCACGCCCAATCCCCAAAATCTAAATCCAAAAAAATCTAAAATCTAAATAACCTAATCCCTGTAGACATTGAACACCAAACCCTGAACCTCAAGTTCTAAACCCGAAGCCTCCAACCCTAAACCCTAAACTTCGTCCTCCAGGAGCGACAAGACTTGGGACCGGCTCGCGAGATGTTCACCAAGCACCTGCGGGGTGTGGGGTTTAGGGTTTAGGGTTTAGGGTTTAGGGTTTAGGGTTTAGGGTTAGTGGAGGGTTTTGGGGTTGACGTCTGGGTTTGCGTTTAGGGGTGTAGGGTCTCAGGTCTCAGGACTCAATAAGTTTATGGTTTACCTAATAGGCCCCATAGTAGTTCCTTTTTGGGGGCTCATATTTAAAATCCTAGAAGGTCATCCCAAAAAAGGAACTACTGTGGGGCCTATGATTTAGGGCTTTAGGGTTTTAGGGTTTGGGATTTTCGGGCTTGCCGTGGTTTCAAGTGACTTGAGCTCGGGATTTCGGGCTGTTTTGGTAGCTTAGAGGCATATCTAAACCAGGGTTTAGGGTTTAGGGTTTAGGGTTTAGGGTTTAAGGTTCTACCTATAGTCTCCAATGTAGTTTCTTTTTTTGGTTTTAGCCAAGTTTATGTTAAGGATCCTAAAAGGTAACCCCCAAAAGGAACTACAGTGGAGACTATAGGTATAGGGGTGTTTCGGGTTCGGGGCCTGGATCCTGAACTTACTATTTCGAGCCTACCCGGACGACCCTCTGAGCACGGAATCACATGCTTGGCCGACTTTTCAGACATAGAGGACAACGAATGAAAGGCATCTGATACCCGAATTGAGGGATCCTGATGATAAGAACCGCCGAGGCCTACAAACTTAGTATTGATATCCATCGACCCTTCATGAAGTATCATACAATGGCTGGGCTTAGGGTTTAGGGTTCAGCCCCGCCCCCCAATATACTATGCATTCAGCGAAGAGGCTTTAGAGAACAGATGTCTAAAAAGTGCCGTCACGTGGAGCGATGTCCAAAATTCAGAACCTCGATATACCCTCAACAGTCGGGTCTGCAATGCAAGAAGAGCCTCACAACCCTTGCAAGCGGAGCGGAGCGTTTTCATCTAACCCTAAACCCTCAACCCCGAACCCTAAACCCCTAAACCCCTAAACCCTAAACCCTACACCCTAAACCCCTAAACCCTAAAGTGCCATGCACAACCCAAAGTTATGGAATCCTTAAGGGAGGGGGTTCTAAGGGGGGTATATGACCCAGTAATCCCCAATTCTCCCTAGTACTCCCTAAATTAGGTTCCCCAAAGCTCCCTAGGACCCTCCCCCCCTTGAGCCACCCTCCCTTAAAGATCCTCCCCTAAACCCTAAACCCTAAACCCTAAACCCTAAACCCTAAACCCCGTAGCCAAAGCCCTGTATCTTCCCCACCCTGAACCTTAAACCCTGAACCCCTAGACCCTAAACCCATAAACCGTGAACCCTAAGCCATAAGTCTTAAACCCTAAACCCATAAACCCTAAACCGTAAAACCCATAAACCCTAAGCCGTAAAAACCCGAGACCCTAAACCCTAAACCCTACCTTAAAGCCATAAACCCGAAGCCGTAAAACCCGAAACCCTAAACCCTCAACCCTACCTTAAAGCCATGACCCCGAAACCCCAGCTCTCTGAAGCTTTAGGGGTTTAGGGTTTAGGGTTTAGGGTTTAGGAAGCACAACCTCCAAACTCCAGCTCAACCTTGAAAGCCGAGGGTTTAGGGTTTGGGGTTTGGGGTTTAGGGTTTAGGGTTTGGTTTAGGGTTTAGGGTTTAGGGTTTAGGGTTGACAAACTCCAGCTCAACCTTGAAAGCCGAGGGTTTAGGGTTTGGGACGTAGGGCTTTGGGTTTAGTTTAGGGTTTGGGACTTAGGGCTCTTGGGTTTTAGGGTATACCCGCAAACCCCAATGCTGCAACCCTCATCCTAAACTCACCTTCAGAAGCCCAAAATCTGAAACGATCAAACTATCTTGTGTATGCATATGTATATGTATATATAAATACACATATTTTCATTTGTTTTTATGATGCATGTATACAGATATGCATGACACCCAAATCGAAACTTCCAACCTCGAATCAGAAGCTCCAGTCCCTGTCCTAGCTACGCCAGGCGCCTGGTGTAGCTCCAGTTCATCCTCTGGATTAGGGCTTCCCCATAGGCTCCATTATGGTTCCTTTTTGTGGTGTATTTTTAGAATCCTCTAAAGTAATCCCAAAAAAGGACTACTATAGAGCCTATGGGTAGGGTTTAAGGTTCGAGTGCGGACCCAGAAATGCGCGTGTCAAGTCCCAGTACGGCACCCTTGTACAAGGACCCGAAAAGGGACCCTAATTAAGAGTACTACCCCCTAAACCCTAAATCCTAAACCCTTTCTGAAAGCCCAAGAAAACCTTGTGGTAGGGCGGCTGCCGGGATCCCGATCGATAGGGTTCAGGGTTTAGGGTGTAGGATCAAAGGTCGCCCTCTGTTTGGAAGGTATTCAGTAGGATGAAATTCTCTTAGGGCTTTGTGAATCTACGGCTTCTGGAAGTTTATCATAAACTGTTTATGGCATAAGTTTATGGCTACATGACTTTAGACTGGATCGTGAAGGGTGGTGGGATCAAGAGTGAATCAGGCTCTGAAGCGCTGTGCAAGCAGGGCAAGATTGCCGACCGGGATTCTTTATTCCTGAACTGCCTGATCGTGATCTGATGAGCCGAAGATGGAACCAGAAAGTCATCCACCGATGGCGCATGGTACTAGATATTCTCGCAGCATCAGATAAAGATGAGGTAATCGGTGTTGGCACTGCGCCGGAATCATGAGACACTTGATGTAACGAGCTGAGGCTACTGCGGGGGCCTTGATGGTTTCAATAGGCTTTGGGGTAATATTACAGTAACAGCAAACAAGGACTAAACAGGAATACTCTCGCAACTATTCAGACCTCTAGCCGCCGAAAACGGAAATTTACAAGTGGCATGGGCTTGGGTCTCTCCATCGGGCAGCGCCCTGTCTCGGGCGCAGGATGTCATGTCCTAGGGTTGAGGGTTCTACAGGGGCCGCAGATCTGCCCTAAATGCCCTCAAAGGGCTTGGGGTGTGGATGTATAAGGGAGCCGGAAGATGCATCAGAGAATTTAGGCGGCTTAGAGCTCCGGGTGGTAGGATCAGGTTTAGGGTTTAGGGTTTAGTGTTCCGGAGTGGGCGCCCCCAGGACCAGTCCTCCACCAGTTTTCTGGGTTCTGCTTGGCGAAGCAGCCGGATGTGGTAGAGGTTCATCTGGGCTTGACGGGACTACAGTGCAACTTCTCAAGTCAGATAGGAATGTCCTGCTGTGGATTTGTTGGGACCGTAGGCAAGCAGTCTGCGAGGTAGCCAATCCGACATTCAGCCGTGCTTCGACTCCGACTCTTGCAACACTTGCATACAGAAGTCACTTGAACACGACAGCGCATACTCGCGAACTCCAGAAAGTCGTGGACCTGTACCCCAGGTTGCAGCAGGGACAAACAAGCTATAGGTTGGCCAACCTGCGAGGAGAAACCCAGAAGTGAACAGCACATCTGGACCAGGTAGGTGAAGCCTCTATAGGGTCTAGGGATGTTTAGGGGTTAGGGTTGAGGTGAAGCCTCGATAGGCTTCTGCCACGCTGACCGTTGAATCTGAGATCTCAATTCCGTCAGCCTCATCATGCAAGACGCCTGAAACAATAGTCACGGGCCCAATACTCCAAGTCCGAATATCTAAACCCCGTAAGAGCACTAATTCATAGTATTCAAACGGTTAGAGTCAAAGCTCGTCCAAACCCCTATATAAACTATACAGAAACCTTTCTGTAACACATCTGTCCCTTTCGACGCCAGGCTCCCGGACCATACAAAAGATGGTGTTCCAACCGGTGGAGACCCATTGAATCTTGGGCTGCACCGCCTCACGCAGTGGAGCTTCAGAGCTCTTTAGGGTTTAGGATTTAGGGTTTCTGAGTGCTCGGCATGCTTGTCGTATGATGCTCAGCGTCTGTGTGTCCTGATCTGTGCTGTCTGTCTGTCTGTCTGTCTGTCTGTCTGTCTGTCTGTCTGTCTGTCTGTCTGTCTCTGTCTGTCTGCATCTGCGTGTTTGCCTGTCTTCTGCTCTGCGGTTCTGCTATCCTATGAAGTTAATGTCGTGCTGTTATATGTTGTGTTGTCTGTCTTGCTTTGTCGCGTCTTGTGTTGAGGTTTGGCTTGGTGTGCTGTGTTGTGTCGTGTTGTGTTGTGCTGTTGCGTTGTGTTGCGGTGTGACGTGTCGCTGTCGTCGTTGTTACTGTTGCTGTTGCTGTTGCTGCTGCTGCCGTTGCTGCTGTTGCTGCTGTTGTTGCTGTTGTTGCTGCTGCTGCTGCTGTTGCTGCTGCTGCTGTTGCTGTTGCTGTCGTTGGTGTTGTTGTTGTTGTTGTTGCTGCTGCAGTTGTTGTTGCTGTTGTTGGTGGTGTTGTTGCCTCTGTAGCTACTGCTGCTGCTGCTGCCGCCGCGGCGGCTGCTGCTGGTGCTGGTGCTGGTGCTGGGGCCGCTGCCGCTGCCGCTGCCGCTGCCGCTGCCGCTGCCGCTGCCGCTGCTGCTGCTGCTGCTGGTCGTCGTCGCTGTCGCAGATGCAGTCGCCATCTCAGTAGCAGTAGTAGTAGTAGTCGTCGTCGTCGTAGTAGTAGTAGTAGTTATTGTTGTTTTCGTCGACGTGGTCGCCGTCCAGGAACCAGTAACAGCCAACAAGCCGAAGGGCTCTTCGAGGCATTCTCGAACTCTCGTCTGGATCCCTCTCGTCTTGCGTGCGCCTCCGCTTCCCGAAGCAGCAGCGCGCAAGCTTCAAAGGTGGAGATGCGACCTGAACGTTACAAGACCCAGACGAAAGGCATAGAGCGCTGGGGCACAGCGGCATCTCCGGATACCTGCTTCCCTGCGCCGGTTCCACACAGCAAGATCAACTTCTTTGACAACTTCATTTTACTTGTCCCCGGAAGACGCGCTGCAGTAGCGCGACTAGACTAGACGATCGGGAGCTCCCTGCGCCTCCACCACAAATGCTGTAATATCTTTTTAAACTCAAGGGACGACAACCCCCTCTCTGGCTTTGGGCTTTCGGAAGGAGGACGCTACTGTTCACGGCTTCTCATTTTTGGGTTGGGCCTCAAGCTGCTGAAGCTGAACAGTAGAGCAAAAAGCAAAGGGGGACCTTGCCTTGTCCCGCTCCCTGCTTCAGCGCATCGATGAGGGGCGAGTGGAACGCGCGTACCGCCTCCTCCTGCAGCCTCTGCGACTCTGACTGAGCGAGGCAAGCCCGAGTTTAGGACGGTGATGGTCCAGACATGATCTGAGGCTTTGGACGGGCAGAAGCACTCTGAATTGAAAAGTCGTACTGCTTGCAGGCATCCGGTCTCGCGGTCAGGCCGACTTGCAACTTGGACAGACAAGCTGCCATTTACTCGCTGGCTGGAGCCAATGTGGAGGTTTCGGTGGTCTGCCCTCGCCCAAATAGACCCACAATTGTCTGGGTTCTTGTTAAGGGATTTAATTTAAGTTACCATAATAGGGATCTATAGTAAATAGTATGGTTTCCTTATTATGGTAACTTAAATTAAATCCCTTAACAAGAACCCAGTTGTTGCATGTCAGGCTCCGGGTCCCAGCGTCGAGTTCATCCAAGCATGCTTGCATCTTTTTGGACTACATGTCTGTAGTAGTAAAAACAAGCAAAGACAATCGAAGGCGCACGGAATGTTCCTACGTATTTCGTGACGGTAAAACACTCCACTTAACCAAACATCAAGAAAATTGCAGAAACCCTGGTCCGTTTACTGCAGAAGGCTCTCAAACTGGCGATGCAATGTCGCAAGCGTCGCAAGAAGTGAACAAGAACAAAAGAGGACAGTAGATCAAGATCATAGGCCGGCCTCAGGCACGGAAGCGGCGGGCGGCCACGTGCTGTCCTCTTCCGGTCCAAGGCACGTCTCAAGGCCTGCACCTTCAGCGGCAAGGCGCAGGTCGGGTCTTCAGGTTGCAGGCTTCCGGTTCAGAACTAACAACCGCAATCAAGTTCACCGACCACGGTAGTTGTCGTATTCGTCATCTGATGACTCCCTAACTGTAGGCTTAAAACAATTCCTACATCTGGCGGGATGAAAGCACATCGAGCTCTTTTGGGCCGAAAGGGCCAAAGAATACTGCCGTTTTATTTTGAAGATTGCAAAAGTTTCTGAAGAAGGATGCTGCTGGTGCCTACATCACTCAGAAAAGGATTGCGGTTATGTTGTACAGTACTATGTAAACGAGGCTTTTCAACTACAGTAGTGCCCACGAAGTATGTTGGCGTGTCTTGGATCTCCAGAGACTTTATGGCTGGCTCGGTCGTGTAGTTGGAAATCGTTGCAGGGACTCTGAGTGTCTGAATACCTGCCGGGTCACGAGTTGCGAAAGAGAAACGATAGAGAAGCATGCGTGATGTGACTTCTTCACCATCTGCCTTCCCAGAAATGCTGCGGCTCAATCCACATAAGCCCGACTGCGACGAACACCCCGAGATGTAGCCATGCCTGATGAAAGGTGGGCAACTTCTACCTCACGCCTTCACACTGTCTACTGGGGAGCATTATGGTTCATTCCATGTCAAGGATTCAAGGCCAAAGCCTCAAGGTTAAAGGTCCATTCTGCCCCATCCCTTCACGGCTCACTCCAGCATCGAACACCTGCTCCCAGGAACCATCCGGAATCAGCCTGCCACAGATGCTTCTGTGAGGCCTTGCTTTGCCCGGGGCTTTGGGCCACAATGCTACGGCTATACACTGCATATTCCTTGCTCAAAGAACCTGGAGAGATGGAGGTTTTTGGTTTCATCCCGTGGCGCCAGGCTACTTTTAAGACTCTTCATTCTCTGAAAGCATGAAGGCACAAATCCTCAATCCTAACCCCAATTATGTTTAACCCTGTACCAAAACAATCTGAATCCGACCCCCCATAAGACACAAAGCCTAGCCGGCAGCACAGGATCAGCTCGCAACGCCGGTCTTCGGCAACGACTGTCCCGTGTGCGAGGTCCTGGACCGCTTCAGGATCGAAAGGGTTTAGGGTTTAGGAAAAAGGAAGCTTTGAAGCTAGAGGTAAGTAAGAGGCAAGTCAGAGGTAAGTAAGAGTATGTAGAGGATCTTCCCGTCCGGTTTCCACTGTGGACACCCCGCGACTGGGTCGGCGCAGGTGCTCACCCCTCTGTTGTGTGGCCGTGGCGGTACTTGTTTTCTGATCTTGCTCTCCCTATCTCTCGGCATGAGACTGGCTTTCTCAAAAGTTTACTTTGTGACCCAAGCTCCGCAACGGTCCAACGCGGCTGCCTGACTTCACTGAGGGGCTTCTTCCTACAGTAAACTCGTCTTCAACAGAAAGCAGCTTGAAGGGATGCAACAACTTCGAACATTAAAATATAATCTATACAACATAATCTACATATCAATATGTATATATATATATATTATATTATATTATACTATATTTTTGTGTAGTATATTATATTACATTATACTATATTAATATCATAGTATTTTCTACTAATATAATACTATACAGGTAAAAAAATATAGGAGATCCCCCTCCTCCTGGGGTCTGGCCAACCACTCCTCGAACGTCCTGCTGCGGGTCTCGGTGTTGCCACGTTGGTACCGGTTTAGGGTTTAGGGTTTAGGGTTGGATGACCCCTAATACTAAACCTACTTTAGGGTTTTAGGGTTTTAAGGGTTTTTAGGGTTTTAGGGTTTAGGAACTACTTCGAGTCAGGGCCTGAAACTGCTGGGAATTGAGAAACTCAGCCAGCCCTTGTGCGATATGCTTAGCTGCTCTTGCGACGGGAAGCCGTCGGCCGTGGCCCTTCCGGACCCTCCCAAGCTAGGACCCTTGCGCCTGCTACCGTCGCCCGGTAGCAGTAGGTGCGTTCCTCAACCGGCTCTCGTGCTTTGCAACATTCTTGGCATTCTGGCTAATGACAGGGCTCTAGAAGTTTCCAGGTCCAAAGGCACGACGATGCTAAAGTTGCTCAAGTCCACAGCTCCTGCATGTCTTTCTGTCTGCGCGCACCTTGGTTTTTCCAAGTTTGTACTGAACGAAATATCCCAGGCAAGCGTCGGCTGTCGTTGATGATCTGGTCGAGTTTGTCTGCATTAACACCGACCTTGTGCACACGGAGCTCTCAAGCTCATTCCGTCACAAAGGCCATAAAGGAAACCAGCCTCTCTCGTTGGATCTACTAGCTGGAGCTCAACCCAACACCACGCTGTATGCACAAATTGGCAAAGCCAGTCATGGGCCACATGCACGCAACACAGTTGCTTCTTTGTGCCGGGGCGTTGAGAAACTCCGAAACTGCCAGAAACTGCACATCGAGACATCATCTGAGGAGTATACCCCGAAGACGAAGAGGTCGGCTCCCAGGACACAAGGCTGGCGGCAGGGCTTGTCACATGTCTAGACTGGGCAGGGCGACACCCTGGAAGCTAAAATCCAACCCTCTGAAGCGATACAACAGCTCGCCTCATGCTTCCACAGCTTCCAGAACTGAAGTCGGTTCTATCCTTTGGCAGGAAGACAAGGCAACGGGGCCAGCAGCTTGCCGCTGCTGCTCGACCGTAGAAATTCCAGCGGGTGGCATAAGAGCACCTGAGCCCAAGCAACCCGGCCTTTACAGGCCTAAGGGGCTTTTGGAGTGCCAGAGTTGTCACACTTAGTGCCACGCGAAGTGCACCTTCTGCAGCTCAATCGCCTTGGCATTGTTGAGAGCGGATCAGACTTCGAAAAGAATGTGGAAAGAGGATCGAGCCACAGCATCAACTTCTCTGAGGTCTTATGGTCCCTATGAAGGCCGCAATTGATGCTAAATGTTAACCTCCGTCTTCAGAGCCTCCTGACCACGAGAAACCCCTGAATTAAGCTATACGACAGGCATGGCCCTTAGGCTTATAATAGTCCCGTAGTTACTTTCTAGAAGCACTCGGCCTGTTGCCACAGTTGTCCCTCAAAGTGACCTGATGAGATCCCACAAGCAAATGACGACAGAAAGTAACTACATACAGAGTGACCTGAAGTGTGAGGGTGAACCTGAACCCCGCGAGCCTTAAGCCTGAAACCCTCAACCATAAGTTACGGTACTCCCCGGTAAAGCAAAGACGGAAAGCCAAACATTCGAAGCCCGACTACTGCCAGAACTCGAAAGCTGTTGCATCGAATGGCATCGAGCCCCGAATCCGAAGCCCTCAAAGAGCCCTGGACCTCCGAATGCCAAGACATCTCGGCCGAGCGACCTTCGACACCGCACAGCAAGCACACAACTCCTGGAGCTTTGCTCGTCTTCCTTACTACATAAGCTCATGGCTTCTTGCGAGTCACATCATGATCTTATTGAAGTCTGCAGCCTGATGGTACGGGGGGGGTTCCCCGCTCCTTGAAGCCCTAAAGGCCTGTAAGAGCTCTTGAGCTTCTCGACCCCTGGAATATTGAGCCAAACATAGCGCGTCCCAGTGAGTCTGGCACTCACTGATACAGTCTGGCTGCTGGCTGCAAACCTTTTAACCCAACAAATGAAGGACGCCTTGGGAAGCCAGCAGTACCGGCACCTTCCGTCCGCTTCGCTGGCCTTCGCCAAGTCTGACGAACTGAGAGTGAGTTAGGCGTAAACCAAATGAAACATACAAAGGAGAATACTGCTGAACATGACGATAGCTCTGATGATCCTGGCCATGACCATCACCTGCGTTGAACAGTATGTTCTCCAAACCATCATTACGGCAGGCCGCCCATGAATCTGCGATGCCCGGAGTTGCGCATGCCAGGTGACATCTACAGAAGAGCCTCTCTTGAAGCCGTGAAACAGAAAGAACTGCACACATTGCCATTCCTTGTCCCCACGGGTCAGCATACACAATGCTGATGGCCCCGACGGGCTTGATAGATGAACGCAATGAGGAAGATCATAAATGATGTTGATGATGGTGATGACGATGATG